CTCTTATCAGATGTTATCTCCCTTTATCTTGTCACTGTCATGGGGTGAACTGTTTTCCATGCTTCAAGGGAACATATTATTATAATTAGGTATTATTATTATTCCTCTTCTTCCTCCTCTTCCTCTTCCTCTTCTTCTTCTTCTTCTTCCTCCTCCTTCCTCCTCCTCCCTCCTTCCTCCTTTTTTCCTCCTCCCTCCTCCTCCCTCCTTCCTCCTCCTCCCTCCTTCCTTCCTCTTCCTCCTTCCTTCCTTCCTTCCTCCTCTTCTTCCTCCTCCTCTTCTTCCTCCTCCTCTTCTTCTCCTCCTCTTCTTCCTCCTCCTCTTCTTCCTCCTCCTCTTCCTCCTCCTCCTTCTCCTCTTCTTCCTCCTCCTCTTCTTCCTCCTCCTCTTCCTCCTCCTCTTCCTCCTCCTCCTCCTCCTCCTCCATTGCTTTTGGTCTCAAACTCCTCGAAATCATGAAATTGATCTTCGCTGACACTTCCATCTGTGTTAGAGCATCACTTGGGAAGAGAAGAGTCCCAGATTTGCTGGGGAGTCACATATTTCTTACCTCTAGACATGCTGAAAAAGGACGACTGAAATGGTATTCCCACAATGCACCACTGGCTCCCCGATTTTTTTTGTATGGTGCACACTGACCATGGAGACCCATTCTCTCACATGTGGGCCTACCAGCTTTCTCCTGCTTGATTTGAAGCTGCTAGAATTTATGGGTATATATACGACCGCGACAGTCAAGGGGTTAATGGGCTTAACATATGGTGCAAGGTGAATAATATGGTAGGTAGTTATGAAAGTGTGGTAGGTATGTAACCCCCATCTGGCTACCCCACCCACACCTTGTATACTAGGCTTTTAAACTGCCCTAGACCAATAAAATGCATATACAGTGGACCCCAGACCAACGAAGGCATGCATCGTCTACCGATAAAAATGCCTAACGAAGCTTTTTAGTGTAAAATTTTTGGCCCGACCAACAATGAAAAACTCAACTAACAACATTTGTCCCGAACGTGTCCACGTGTCGGTCTGGCCTGAGTGCGCCTTAGCTGCCATGTATTATTCCAGTGTTTTTAGTGCTTGTAACTGCTAAATAAGCCAACATGGGCCCAAAGAAAGCTTCTAGTGCCAACCCTGTGGTAAAAAGGGTGAGAATTACAATAGAAATGAAGGAGATAATCACAAAGTACGAAAGTGGAATGCGTGTCTCCGAGCTGGCCAGGTTGTATAACAAACCCCCAATTAACCATCACTACTATCTTGGCCAACAGAAAGGCAGTCGAGGAAGCTGTTGTTGCGAAAGGTGCAAGCATGTTTTCGAAACAGAGATCGCAAGTACTCAAAGGTGTTGAGAGACTGTTGTTGTTGTGGATAAACGAAAAACGGATATCAGGAGATAGTATCTCTCAATCATTCATATGTGAAAAGGCGAGGCAGTTGCATGATGATTTAATTAAAAAAATGCCTGCAACTAGTGGTGTTACTGAATTTAACCCCTTCAGGGTCCAAGGCCCAAATCTGAAGTGGTGCCCCAGTGTCCAAGAATTTTCCAAAAAAAAAATTTGTTATTTTTTCTTATGAAATGGTAGAGAATCTTTTTGTGAAGGTAATAAAACAAAAAGTACGAAATTTGCTGGAAAATTGACGAAATTATGCTCTCGCGAATTTTGATGTGTCAGCGATATTTACGAATCGGCGATTTTGCCGACTTTGACTCCCATTTTAGGCCAATTACATTATTCCAGTCAACCAAATTCTTAGCTATTTCACTAGTATTACTTCTATTCTATCGATTGAGCACAAGAAATCGCCAAGTCAACTGTTTCAACTACAAATTGAAGTGATCGGAAATTGTTAATTTGGCCAATTTAACACAAAGTTCAAAATATTCCAATTTCAAAATAGGGTCCAGAATAAACAATGTAGGTATTCCTGGAACTAAACTAACATTTCCTCTGTTCATTAGTTACATTTTGAGGCTTTACAAATAAATTCCATTTTGATTTTTTATTCACATAATGAATTTTTATTCACACCAAAAAATAGAAGATTTACTGTTATGCAAAACTGTAATAATTGTATAAATATCATCACCATATTTGTGAATGCATATTAGACCCACCAGCTGGCGTGTATTAGACGTGTGAGGTCGTTTGTTTACTCTTGAATATCGGCAAAAATTTAACATTTCTGCTACTTTGAGCTCAGTTTCAAGCCATTTCCAATGCTAAAACCAATCAAAATCATCTCTTTCTGTAATATGTCTTCCATTCTATCAATTGAGACCAAGAAATCGCAGATAGAACTATAAAAAACATACAAAAAAACACTGGAAAGTCGCTGTTTTAATAGAAAAATCATGATTTCAGTTTTTTCTCTCATTATACACAACGTGCTGCAGGATCTGTTTTATGTGGTGCACACATACCACATAGATGTATTCTCTCATATCTAGGCCCAAGTGTACCACTCACAGTTTATCAGAGTGAGCTATGCTCATGACGTAGATCTACGGTTTGGACCCTGAACGTAAAGCCGTAGATCTACGGGACGGACCCTCAAAGGGTTAAAGCCAGCAAAAAGTGGTTTGAGAGATTTAAGAATCATAGTGGCATACACAGTGAGGTAAGGCATGGTGAGGCTGCTAATTCGGACCAAAGAGCAGCTGAAAAATATGTGCAGGAATTCAAGGAGTACATAGACACTAAAAAAAAAAAAATGAAAGCAATGTCATCAAGGCTAATTTGTGTGTGATGTGGAGGGCAAACAGTAAGGCATGGGTCACTAGGGACATTTTCTATGATTAGTTTTATCATGTGTTTAGCCCCACTGTGAAAAATTACCTCCTGGAAAATAAATTGGACCTAAAGTGCCTCCTGGTATTAGACAATGCTCCTGCTCATCCTTCAGACTTGCCAGAGCAAATTTCAGGGGAGTTGAGCTTCATAAAAGTGAAGTTCTTGCCTCCTAATACCACTCCTCTCCTCCAGCCCATGGACCAGCAGGTCATTTCAAACTTCAAAAAACTGTACACCAAAGCATTGTTTCAAAAGTGCTTTGAAGTGACCTCAGACACTCAGTTGACCCTAAGAGACTTTTAGAAAGATCACTTTAGTATCCTCAGTTGCATAAACCTTGTAGGTAAGGCTTGGGAGGGAGTGACTAACAAGACCTTGAACTCTGCTTGGAGGAAATTGTGGCCAGAGTGTGTAGAAGAGAGGGATTGTGGAGGGTCTGGGGCTAACCCTGAGGAGCCTATGCCAGTTGTGGAATCTATTGTGGCATTGGGGAAGTCCATGGTGTTGGAGGTTAGTGGGGAGGATGTGGAAGAGTTGGTGGAGGATGATGATGAAGAACTAACCACTGATGAGCTGCAAGAGCATCTGCAACAGCAAAAGACCACAGCTGAGGAAATTGCTTCAGAGGAGGGGAGAGAGAAATTGAGGAAGTTGCCTTCTTCAAAGATTAAGGAAATTTGTGCGAAGTGGGTTGACGATCGAAACCTTTGTGGATGAAAATCACCCCGACACAGCTATTTCAGGCCATGCTGGTGACTTTTACAATGACAATATTGTGGCCCATTTTAGGAAAATCTAAATGGAACGCGAGGTACAGAGCTCTATGGACAGATTTTTGGTGCGACAGAGGTCCAGTGACTCTCAAGTTGTTCCCAGTGGCATTAAAAAAGAAGGGAAGTAACCCTGGCAAAGGAATTGGTACCTAAAGTCCTTATGGAAGGGGATTCCCCTTCCAAACAATAATACACCTCCATCTCCCCTCCTCCCATCTCATCAATCATCACTACATCTTCAATAAAGGTAAGTATCATTTATTCTTCATTTAGTACAGTATTTATTGTGCATGTATCTTTGTTTTTCTGTGTAGGAGAATGTATATTTCATGTGAATTTTTTTTTTTTCATACTTTTGGGTGTCTGGAACGGATTAATTGGATTTCCATTACTTTTTAGGGGGAAAATTAATTCGACTAATGATAAATTCGCCTAAAGATAAGCTCTTCGGAATGGATTAATATCGTTGGTTGAGGGTTCACTGTACAGTACACTCATTACTTACCTTAAAATATTTATAGTCTTAATGTAGAGTGAGAGATGAGTAAACAAGATGAGTACATGAGAGTGTAGAAAGTTCACCGAGTTTTGTAAACAAACCAGTTGTTGTTGTTGTTGTTACCAGTCTGGACCCGAATGGTTTTTGTTCACTCCGTCAACCCGACGTAGCGTGTTTATTATAACGTAAAATTAATATGGCGTCTTCAAGACTAATAACGCTCTCTTTATTTTATTTTTATTATCACACTGGCCGATTCCCACCAAGGCAGGGTGGCCCGAAAAAGAAAAACTTTCACCATCATTCACTCCATCACTGTCTTGCCAGAAGGGTGCTTTACACTACAGTTTATAAACTGCAACATTAACACCCCTCCTTCAGAGTGCAGGCACTGTACTTCCCATCTCCAGGACTCAAGTCCGGCCTGCCGGTTTCCCTGAACCCCTTCACACTCTTAGTGATTTTAATGTGTTCCTGCACACCAACACAGTCGCAAGATGTGGAGTTTAAAGCATTTAAGTTCAGTGACAAAGTATAGGATAGTGTCCATGTAAACACACTCACTGCCTTATTGCTTGAACAAGGACTGTATTTCAGTTTTCTGAAAAAAAAAATCATTTTCCCCTTATTTTTTATATCTTCTGGCTTAAATATCTTGCAATTTGGCCTCAGTTTCAGTCTGCACTACTCTCTTTACTCCCATTAAAACCTCCATTTTTTTTAAATTGCTGTCTGCAAACAATTAGCACTGTGTAATGGTGGAATAACAATACAGTATTGGTAAAGGAAACACCACACTGTACAGAATTAAAATCCAAGTCTGTTTTTCTTTCATAATTTTAATATGTCTAGTGTTGAAATAGCAAAAAATATTAACCCGTACAGTAACCTGATTTTTTATTGTTTTTCTCTCTTGTTGAAACCACGTAGAGTTGACTGAGCCTGTGGGTCCCGAGATGGAAACGCTGCAATCACTATTTGCATCAAGGATTGTGTGGACTATTGCTGTTGCAGATGAAGAGATTCCTTCCTTCTGGCTTGTACCACCTGTATATGAAGATGCTGACCACTCAGAAATGGTAAATTAATATAGTACAGGATTTTGTCACTGGAAATTTTATAGATGGTACAGTATTTCAGTTTTGACATCATTGAATCAGATATATTTTGGAGTCTGTTGCTTCATGCTTAGTTGTATAATGTTCAAAATACAGTGGACCCCCAGTTTACGATATTATTTCATTCCAGAAGTATGTTCAGGTGCTAGTACTGACCGAATTTGTTCCCATAAGGAATATTGTGAATTAGATTAGTTAATTTCAGACCCCCAAACATACACATACAAACGCACTTACATAAATACACTTACATAATTGGTCGCATTGGGAGCTGATCGTAAACCGGGGGTCCACTGTATATTGATAGTTCTGAAGGCCAGCATGATTCAGATTTTCAGAATATATTGCTAGTTCTAAAATCCAGCATGAAAATTAGTTTGACTGTATATTGATGGAACATAATTACATAGCTAAACACTTGTTCTTCCTTCTGCTGGAGTATAACTTATATAATTTAAAGATATCTCAGCTCCGCCATCCTCTGTCGTTTTTCATAGACTATCACGGTCTCTCTTTCGTGCTAGAACTTTAAACTGTCTGTAATAGGGCAGTAGATATGTCATGGTATCTGCAGTTAGAATTCATAGTAGCAACACATTAAATTTGCTGGAAATTGTGATGGCTTTGAATTATTAATGTTAGCAATATTTTATGATTAAAGTTCTGACTTACCATACAGTTCTAGTGTTTTGTAAATTATTCAAATCTGCCAAATGTATGCTATACTGTATAATCACAGATGATGTCCTTAATTAGTATTCACATACTGTAGGTTCTGTTAATGTATAGATGAGACTAAACTATACACTACAGCATAAAGTGTTGAAGCATGCTAGTTAACTTCATGTCTCTTCGTCATTCTTTTCACACTTTCAGCTGAGAGATTTTTATGAAGTAACCAATCTTACATACTTTTAACTATGGTGGATCTAGGAGATAGTGTTTAAAATATAATTATAAAAGACTAACTGTTTGTGATAATAAATAATAAGCAATTCTTGAAACTGAGTTTTATGTTCACAGTAGTACTTTGAATATAAAACCAGTGAGTTTATTATATATTTTTTCATAATATAATGAAGGGGTAATATCTCTTGTGCTTTCTTCTTAACAGGTGCCAACAAATTTACTTGAAACCTGCCGTCAGTATGCAGGAGAATATGACCTGTTAGGAACATTGCACAAACTGGTTAAGGGTCAGGGCTCACAAGCACTTACTCCACAGAAGCTATGTAAAGGCTCCCCCAGGTACAAGCATAGTGCAGGTGTTATAAGACCAGACAAGAGAGGCAGACCTTTTGGTAAGAACTAATAATTTTATAGATACAGTAGTGATTATGAAACTTTTTTTTTTGTACAGGACGGGTATGGGGATAAAAATTTAGAAATTGGAAATCAAAGCGTGAACTGTATTTTAACTCTTTCAGGGTCGACAGGCCCTCTCCCAGACTTGTTCTCAGGGTCGAAAAATTTTCAGAAAAAAAAAAAAAAATTTCTTATGAAAAAATATTTTTTTTTTTTCTGAACATTACAGGCTAAAAAGATTTTTTTTTGCCATTAATACTGTACACGTTTATAGAGGGGCAACTGATATATCGGATCATTATTTACTTGTAGCTACAGTTAGAGTAAGAGGTAGATGGGAAAAGAGGAAAATGGCAACAACAAGTAAGAGGGAGGTGAAAGTGTATAAACTAAGGGAGGAGGAAGTTCGGGTGAGATATAAGCAACTACAGTGGACCCTCATCTAACGATATTAATTGGTACCCGAGAACGAATATCGTTAGGCGAGTTATAGAGGAATAAGTTTACTGAGTATAACAAGAAAAGTATACGGTAGGGTTATAATTGAAAGAATTAGAGGTAAGACAGAATGTAGGATTGCAGATGAACAAGGAGGTTTTAGAGTGGGTAGGGGATGTGTAGATCAAGTGTTTACATTGAAGCATATACAGGAAGGCCCCGCTTTACGGCATTTCACTTTACGGCGTTCCGCTAATATGGTCATTTCAAATTATGACCAAAACTCGCTATACGGCTCCCCCCACCTGACTTTCTAATACGGTCACCGCGCCCCACCTTGTTTGTTTACATTCTTCGTGAGCTCAGTAAGCACTAAGTCTCTCCATTTTGTCTGGAAACTCAAAAATTTCAAATGTTTTTAAAAGTTATTTCATATTTTATATATACTCTGATAATTATACTTATGTATACCTGTACTTAAATAAACTTACATACTGTGCTGGCATGCAGGTACACATTAAAATCAGTAAGAGTGTCTTATGTCTCCAGACGTCATATTAGTAATGATAATAATAATCATCGAGTCTCATTTAAATGTCGTATATTATGTTAAATACACATTTTCATTAATCCATCTATGATATTTTTTCAAAATTATATAATAAACACGATACATAACATAAAAAGATGATAAATACACCCCACAATAGAATAAATAAACATAAATATGAGATGTGGTAGCAGACGACTTGCACAAGTGACGCCATATTAGAAATGCTAATAATAATAATAATAATAATAATAATCACCGAGTCTCATTAAATGTTGTATATTACGTTAATATACACATTTTCATTAATCCATCTATGATATTTTTTTCAAAATTATATAATAAACACGATACATAACATAAAAAGATGATAAATACACCCTACAAAAGAATAAATAAACAAATATTGGAAAGGACCCCAATGGAAATAAGTCACTCTGTCTGACTTTTTTGGGTTATCCTAGGTTCTCTACACATATGCTGCTATGTATGATAATTCTATGTAACTGTATTTGTGTATACCTGAATAAATTTACTTACTTACTTACTAACTATGTGGTACCCAGATAACTTGTACAAGTGATGCCAAGAATAACATTTTCTCTAATCTAACATAAGAGAAAATGTGTTACTGGGGGTAACTGTAGAAAATTATTCCTTTCGTATGTATGTAAGTTTATTCTGGTATACACAAATACAGTTACATAGATTATCATACATAACAACATATGTGTAGAGAACCTAGGATAACCCAAAAAAGTCAGAGTGACTTATTTCCATTGCCTTCACTCAGAGCATCATTTCTTCTCAAAATGATGTTACATGAGAATGGGAGTGTTCTTCTTTATTTATTCTACCGTATCAATGTAGAGACAACCTGTACACAATGTAACTTGTACACAAACCAGACGTGTACACTTTGTTTACAAAACTTACCTTTGCCTGGTTTGTTGACGTAACTCTGCGCCTGTCCTCTCTCATGCACTCATTCTTTCTCTCTCTCATTTATTCGTTTTATCTCATTTACTTACTCCTGACCCTACATTAAGACTACAAATATTTTAAGGTAAGTAATGAGTGAACTGTATATACATTTTATCGCTCTGGGATGCTTAAATGTAATAAGAATATTATGTGTAGGTGGGTTGGCCTGGTATGGTAGCCCTGCTGACTACCATACATACCACACTTGATTTTTTACAATAAATACTACTCATCTCACCCTATATTTTAAGGTAAGTAATGAGTGAACTGTATATACATTTTATCGCTCTGGGATGCTTAAATATCATAGAATTGTATGTGTGGGTGGGATTGGCCTGAATGGTAGCCTGGCTGACTACCATACATACCACACTTGATTTCTTACAATAAATACTACTTGTCTCACCCTAGATTAAGACTATAAATATTTTAAGGTAAGTAATGAGTGCACTATGTGTGTATTGTACTTTTTTATTGTTTTTTGATGCCTGGTTCTATTGCTAACTTAATATATGTTAGTGTAAACTTGTTATCTAGTGTTTGTATGCATTTGTAAGTGGAAAAAAAGGGTGTTCCACTTTACGGCAGTTTCCGCTTTACGGCGGTAGCCTGGAACCTAACCAGCCGTATAAGTGGGGCCTTCCTGTATGTGAACAGTATTTAGATAAAGGTAGAGAAGTTTTTATTGCATTTATGGATTTAGAAAAGGCATATGATTGAGTGGATAGGGGAGCTATGTGGCAGATGTTGCAAGTATGTGGAATAGGTGGTAAGTTACTAAATGCTGTAAAGAGTTTTTATGAGGATAGTGAGGCTCAGGGTAGGGTGTGTAGAAGAGAGGGAGACTACTTACCAGTGAAAGTAGGTCTTAGACAGGGATGTGTAATGTCACCATGGTTGTTTAACCCTTTGACTGTTTTGGTCACATATATACACATCTTACGAGGTACCGTGTTTGACGTACAGTGGACCCCCGCATAGCGATATTAATCCGTGCAAAAGAGCTCATTGTTATGCGAAATTATCGTTATGCGAATGAATTTTCCCCATAAGAAATAATGGAAATCAAATTAATCCGTGCAAGACACCCCAAAGTATGAAAAAAAAAATTTACCACATGAAATATTAATTTTAATACACACAAACTGAAAAAGGCATGCACAATTACATGACACTTACTTTTATTGAAGATCTGGTGATGATTGATGGGATGGGAGGAGGAGAGAGTGTTGGTGTTTAGAAGGGGAATCCCCTTCCATTAAGACTTGAGGTGGCAAGTCCTTTTCTGGGGTTACTTCCCTTCTTCTTTTAATGCCAATAGGACCAGCTTCAGAGTCACTGGAGTTCTGTCGCACAAGATATCTGTCCATAGTGGCCTGTACCTCTCGTTCCTTTATGACTTCCCTAAAGTGTTTCACAACATTGTCAGTGTAATAGTCACCAGCACGGCTTGCAATAGCTGTGTGAGGGTGATTTTCATCCATGAAGGTTTGCACTTCAAGCCACTTTGCACAGATTTCCTTAATCTTTGTAGTAGGCAATTTCTTCAATTTCTCTCTCCCCAGTACCAACAATACCACCAGTCCAATAACATTCTTCTTTGCAAATATACAGGGTCTAAAGCCAGCAACAAACAACAAAATACCTTTCATCCGTGGACTGCTTGCAGAGGCAAAGGCAATGTTCGCGGCTTTCACTGAGACCCACATAAAGGATCACTTGGACAACGAAATATGGATCCCAGGTTACAACCTATACAGATGTGAGAGAGTGAACAGGCAAAAGGGGGGGGTTGGCCTGTACATTGCAGAGTCACTTGTTTGCACAGAACTGCTTAATGCCTCAAATGACGTAGTGGAAGTTTTAGCAGTAAAGGTCGAGAACCAAAACCTAGTCATTGTGGTAGTCTACAAGCCTCCGGATGCAACATCCCAGCAATTCCAGGAACAGCTGTTAAAAATTGACCACTGTCTGGAAAATCTTCCAGCTCCTGCACCCAACATCTTGCTCCTGGGGGATTTCAACTTAAGGCACCTAAAATGGAGGAATATAGCAAATAATATTGTTGCAGTAATAACACCAGGAGGCAGCTCTGATGAAAACTCACACTCTCACGAGCTTTTAAATCTCTGCACAAAATTCAATTTAAACCAGCAAATAATAGAGCCTACTAGACTGGAGAATACACTAGACCTCATATTCACTAACAATGATGATCTGATAAGAAATGTCACCATATCAAAAACAATATACTCAGATCACAACATAATTGAGGTTCAGACATGTATGCGTGGAGCCCCAGACCGACAAAATGAGACTAGTCACGAGGGAGCATTCACCAAATTCAACTTCAATAACAAAAACATAAAGTGGGACCAAGTAAACCAAGTCCTAACCGATATAAGCTGGGAAGATATACTAAGCAACACAGACCCAAACTTATGCCTAGAACAGATTAACTCGGTGGCACTCGATGTATGCACAAGGCTTATTCCTCTAAGAAAAAGGAGGAGTAGATGTAAAATAGAAAGAGACAGGCGCTCCCTTTACAGGCGACGGAAAAGAATAACAGAGCGGCTAAAAGAGGTCAATATATCTGAAATGCGCAGGGAGACACTGGTCAGAGAAATAGCAAGCATCGAACTTAAGCTAAAAGAATCCTTTAGGAGTCAGGAATCGCGGGAAGAACTAAAAGCTATAAATGAAATCGAAAGAAACCCAAAGTATTTCTTCTCCTATGCCAAATCAAAATCGAGAACAACGCCCAGTATTGGGCCCCTACTTAAACAAGATGGGTCCTACACAGATGACAGCAAGGAAATGAGTGAGCTACTCAAGTCCCAATATGACTCAGTTTTTAGCAAGCCGCTAACCAGACTGAGAGTCGAAGATCAAAATGAATTTTTTATGAGAGAGCCACAAAATTTGATTAACACAAGCCTATCCGATGTTATCCTGACGCCAAATGACTTCGAACAGGCGATAAATGACATGCCCATGCACTCTGCCCCAGGGCCAGACTCA